AGCTTGGTTGCTGATTGAGCTAAGGTTGTTGTTGAGCGGGAGTTACGGTATTTTTGATACCATATTGTTTTTGTTGACCCCCTTTTCCACTTACAGAGCTAGGTTATTGTTTTTCTTTGAAATAAATATTCATGTAATTTTATTGGTATCTATCTTCATTTTTTACATTTACCAGTAGCTGCCTCATTTCCTACCCTAGGCTTATACTCGAGTCAATATTTTTTCCCAGTTCTTTGGGGTAAAATTAGGTGCCTCGGCTTATATTCGGGTCGGCTTGTGCTCGAGTATATAGGTACTTATTCCCGCAATATAAGAACTAGGGGTCACCAAATGACATTAATAGGCAGCAAGTTTAAAACAAAAGGAAGTTTTTCTTCACTCAGTGCAGTCAACCTATGGAACTCCTTGTCAGAGGATGTGATGAAGACTAGGACTTTAACAGGGTTAAAAGAAGAGCTAGATAGATTAATGGAGGTTAGGTCCATCAATTGCTATTAGCCAGGATGGGTAGGAATGGTATCCGTAGCCTCTGTTTGTCTGGAAATGGGTGATAGGAGGGATCACTTGAGAATTACCTGTTGTGTTCCCTCCCTCTGGGGTATCTAGTATTGGCCACTGTCGGCAGACAGGATACTGGGCTGGATGGACTGTTGGTCTGACCCAGTATGTTCTTGTGTACACGTGACCTGCAAGTTTATGCTTCTTTCTATTTTCCTTGCTGTTGGGGTCAATTGCAGAAGAACTCTGTACACGTGAAGTATAGTGGTGGTGGGGCCTTTACTGATGAGCCAGAAGCAAGCCTCTAGGAACATAGGCCATTGTAGCAAGAACGAATTGTAGATAAGGGTGGAAACATAATCTTGTTTACCTAAATGTACTGATCACGTAAACAGAGTCCAAGGACAAGCTATACAACTGAGCCATACTGTAACAAGCAAGGAGTAACCCCCGGAAATTTCCAAACTGCCACAAACAAGGTTGAGACACAGTATTTAAAGCTGCACCAGAGCACAGCAATTTGGACCTCACCAATGGGCTTTGGGTACCGGTGCCTCGGAAGCTGAGACAGTCTCCCACTTCATCCGCAGCCGAAACGGGTTCCCTGGCTAGCAGAAAGGAAATAATAATTGCCGCTTTTCCTATCATGTTGTTCTTTTAGTTAAGAGGCACAGCTGATAGCTGTCAGGAAATAAACTGCTTGTGTTTGACAGATACCTGTGTAGCATGTCTTTGTACTTTGAGAACCCAGTGTTGGATCTCAGACTTACTCTTGCCGGCAACACTTGCTAGGATTAGACTTGCGATTTTTAAAGGATGCCTCTTTGCCTCCAATTTGCCTCCTTTTTTTTTTTTTTAATGGTGTCCCTCCCCCGCCCCTATTTGGGGTATATATTTAGTTTGTCCCTCAAGTATGGTGTTTTTAAATTCTCTGAAGTTTCCAGGCATTACTTCCCTGTGATGGCTCCTTTAATTTCCATTTAACTAGCGCTCTCATTTTTGTGTATTCCTCTTTTTGAAGTAGTACAATGGTAGGTGGGGTTTTTTTGGCATTTGTCCCCATACAAGGATGTTAAATTTAATTACATTATGGTTGCTGTTACAGAGTGTTTCGATTGTGTTCATTACTTGGACTAGATCCTGTGATCCACTTAGGACTCTGCTATGAATACTGATGCAAGAGAAGAATTGCTTCTTCTCTTGTGGGTTCCAGGACAAGCTGCTCCAAGATGAGAGACAGAAACACACACTCACATACCTAATATGTGATATATGTTTACGTAAACCCCTGGAAGGAGAAACAATTACTGTTTCAACAAACAATTTGTTGAAATTTCTGAATAATGAAGGGTTTGTATTAAATAGACATAGCTAGGCAGTAGCTGTGCTATGACTCTCTATTGTGCACTGAAAGTGATCATGTCACTACTATCTTTCTTTCAACTATCCACTTCTGTTGGTTTTCACTAGGGATGTTAAATATCGGGTAATTGAATAGTCGATTAACCTCATGAATTCTTTTCAGTTACTTGACTAATCTATAGTCCGTGGGGGTGGGTCCAGCAGCCAGTGCGCTCCGGCCTCACTCAGAAGACGCTCACAGCCACTCGGTGCTGCTGCTTCTGTATCAGAGGCAGCAGCATGGGGTGGCAGGCAGGAGCTGATCCATGAGGGGAGTCAGTTTAAAAACCAGCTTGGATCAGCTGCCTGTCACCTCACGCTGCTGCCTCTCATAAAGAGGCAGCAATGTAGGGTGGCAGCAGCCCTGTCTAGAGAGGAGCTGAGCTCCTGGACCCAGCATGAGCCGGAGCTGAGCCGAGCTGCCTGCCCATCCAGCTCCTAATACACTTTAAATGCAGAGCCTTAGCTTGGATAGGTTCCAGACCCAGGCTGCTGGCCAGCTTGCTAAAAAAATGTACTGGCAAGGGTGGGGGGAGGGAAATGCATGTAGTGTATAGCATTAACCTATAAGCTTTTGCTTATCGGTTGATCAACTACACTATTACATCCCTAGTTTTCACTGTCTGTTTTGTCTCACCACGTGTTGCTTGTAATCTCTTTGGGGCAATGATTCTTTTCTTTATTACATGTATGTATCGTGTAATACAATAAGGAGTCCATGATCCTTGATTAAGACCTCTGAGTGTTACCACAATACAAGCAATAATCTTGAAAAATAAACTCTCCTCTTTTTGAAGAGCTAATAAAATGTTGTGAGGTAGAAATATCTATTAAACAATAAAGCACTGTAGAAAATTAAGGTTATGCATTGGCAGTAGGAGTTCTCTATTACTGTTTCAATTCTCTATAATAACTTAGCCCTGTTTCAGTTTTGTAGGCATATTAAGCTTGGGCATTGTTCTATGAATGATTGTTTACCTGTCAATGTTTAGCCATTTTGTGTGTAACTACGTATATTTTGAAACTAACAAATCAATTTCTTTTTTTCCCAGTTGTGTTTGATGTGTACCGAGACAGCATGGTAAGTGATGAATGGCTCATTATTATTGACATGTTTTGTTCTTTGTATTCTGTGGAAATTCTTATGCTTCCTAATACCATAGAGGTGAAATGAATGTTGGCTTCAACCTCTGGGGATATATTTTGATGAGTGAATTAAAAGTATCTAGATTTTTTTTTTTTAAATTTAGCATTCATTCTGCAATTGCTTTCTTATAAGGACTGTTGACTTGAGTATATTTAACTGATTTAAACATTATTTAACCTGTCTTCTTATTTTGGCTTATGTTCTCTCCCTTTGTTTGTAAATTTGCTAAGTATCATATCATCATTAGCTTTTTATTAAATACTAAAGCCAAATAGGCATTAAACACCTGAGCCTTCTTGATCTCATCTGTTTTACTTTTACCTAGTGTACCTACACTTTCCTATGTCTTTTTCTTTTTCCTAATATATGTATAGAACTACTCTGTGCCTTAGTATTTCTGATTTTGTCTATACATGCTTATGTTTACTTTTGTACTGTTCCGTAGCAGTTTGTCCATGTTTCCATCTTTTGTAGGATTCCTTTCTGACCATCAGGTAAAAGAGCTCCCAGTAGAGTTGTATTTGCCTCATACTATTCTTCCTCCGTTTCCTTCCCATTAGGATAATGTATGCCTTTACTATTGTCTCTTTGGAAAAACTGCCAGCTTTCCTGAATTCCTTTTTCTTAGGCCTGGTCTACACTCGGAGTTTAGGTTGAATTTAGCCACATTAGATTGATTTTTCTAAACAATGAGTCTACACTACCAGGCCTGTAGTTAAAGTCCATTTCTGTACTGTTTTCACAAGGAATAACTGCTAAATTCAGTCTCACATGGTCAGTTTTATGGTAGTGCAGACACAGTACTGTGAAAGTCAACATTTTGGCCTCCAGAAGATGTCCCACAGTGACTTCTGTAGCCATGACTTTCAACTCTGCTGCTTGGGAACCTTCCATAGCTAGTCCATAGATTCCTCCCAAGATACTCAGGTGGCCTCAAGTAGCAGTGTGGAGAATAGCATGATGGTGGAAGAGGTGGAGAAAGGTCTATAGGCAATCAGGGCAACCAATGTCACCAAGAGAACTTAATCTCCTTTTCCCAGGACAGCTCACAGTTGGGCACTGGTCCTGGGGAACGGCACTTGTGTGAGTTCACATTTTTTTTTCTCTCACTGGGTTAAGGCAATCAGGTGTGATCTGTGGTGGCCACTATACCTACACAGCAGGGTCGGGGTCCTCAGAACAGCTTGTTAACATTTCTAGAGACAGAGTGAGAATCCTCCGTGCACATCTCCACAGAGCGCTCATAGAGGAACTCTTAATCTTTTTCACAAGGTTTCTGGAGAGGCCTGCCTTAGTCCATCCTCCATGGTATGACACCTTTCCATGCCACACCAGCAGTGAGTGGTCTGGGGCCATTGCAGCATAAGTTCCAGGTTTCTGGCCATATTCAGTCAGCATCTGTTCCCTGTACTCTATGTGATTTGCAGCTTTAATTGTGTCTGTCAGTGTGATAGAAACTACTAGTAATGACACACTCCTAAGAGAAGGGAATTGTGTAGATTTAACTGCCAAACAGATCTTCATCTCTCTGCTGGAAACTGATATTATTGGAAGGACTCTGCCTTTTTGCTGTTATCTAGACATAATGTTCTAAAATTGTACAAGAGTTTGGATTATGGCTCTACTGGGCACCTGGGGGAATGACTCTCAGGTATAAAGCCCTATGGGATTATGATAATCTTCTAATCATTCTTTTCAAATCTCAGCCACTAATTCCTATATCAAATGCATACCTTTGCCTGATCTGAGGGCAAAAATTGATTTGATCTAACAAAGTGAACACAGTGATTCAGTAGTGCCTCCTCTCAAGATTGTTATTGTGAACCTTGTGATATCTAATATTTTCTTAAAGCCCCAGCTCTTAGAGTCATGTAATTGTGAGGATAAGAGCTGCTTTTTTTTTTAAATCAACAATGTCCCTTACAGTTGTGGAGAAAAGCTTGAAAAGATGCATCCTGTTTAATCTCATTATTTGAACCAGATGTGATTTGGGGAAGAGACCTGACTCATGATGTTCTGGCAGATGGAGTTGGCAGTTCTGATGATTTTAAGTACTGATGCTACCTATTAGCCTCTCATTGGCTGATAGGTAGAGAGAGATTCTGGATTTTATAGTTATATAATGACAGTGCCAAAAATAGGACCCAGACAGATATGCATGCCTGAATGGAAGTACTTTTTGTACCAATACATACAGTCACAGCAGGTAATCTTATAACATGAGGTTCAAGTCAGTCCAAAAGCTAAATGCAGCATAGATACAAAACTTGTTTACCCATCCTGACTGTGGTGAGGTGAAGGAACAGAAGATATTTTACTTCAGTAAAATTAATAAGCAGAATTTTTCAAGTCTGGCCAAATTCAGCCTGTAGCTATCTTGTCTGATAACTTGAATGACGAAAATAAATATTATTTAAGTGAAAGATTTTAATGCTGGTCATCTTGGACAAAAAGCATTTTTTCTTCATCTGTCAAGTTAATATAGCTGTGTCTATTTGTGCTTCTCTTAATTATTTGTGCAAATGCCATACAGCCCTCAGGCTTCTGGAAAACTGCCAGTGAGTCCCTTGGTGTTTCAAACCCACCTCCTTCACCCCAGCCTATGCACACACCTTCATGACTTGCCAATGTATTATTCAGTGTCTCTTTAGTGTGTCAATTATAGACCCTAAAATGGTGTTGAGTGTTGTGTGGCTCAATCAGTTTTCAGACTTTGTGCTCCAGATCAACATGGTTGCGTGGCAACCTCACCTGTAGAATGAGAGAAGTGCCTAGTTTCTGCCTATTTAAAGCACTTTCAACTGCAAAATGTCTCGAGTGCATGCTTGTTCTCTCGCAAGGTCTGAAACATTTGGAAGAGAAGTGTGTATGTTTTCTGTAGAGTGACTTGAAAGAATGCTGGAGAAAATGCCACAAGTCCTAGTCATTTGCTAGGAGGCAGGAAAACACTTTGATCTTTATATAAAAGTTACTATAGAACTACAGAGTATTGTAATGAAGATATTTCAGACCATTGTTAGTTCACAATTCTTCTTTCTAAATGTTAATCTTAAAAAAAGCTAGTAAAATGCATGGGCTTCATTGCCTCATGTAAACTATCATGGGGGCATGAACACACACAGCTGAAATTAGGGAGATGTGACAATCCACTTTGCTGGTATATCTTTACTAAGATATCATTTCCTAATTATTTTGTAACTTCCTTTAAATGATCTTATAGCTACTTCCTTAAAGCAATATGATTTTTATCTTTTTACTCATTAAAATTAATGTTAGCATGTTATAATAGATCTATCAGTGTATATTTTAAGGTGCTAAATCCGTACCATGTGTTATTTCTTGTTTCCCCTTGTCCTAGACAAAACATTGCTTATGTTAATTTCACTTTTGTGTTGATGATATCTTTGCTACACATGTAGTTCTAGAGCAAACTGTCAGGCATAGTCTTGAGACTACATACTTTGTGAACATAAAAAAGGAGGCTGTCTTTGGAAGAAAATGTATATATGCTTGCCTAGTAAACATTCGATATTGAGGCACCCAAATTTTGGGACAATGGTCCCATTAGCAACTTCAGAGGTACATGTCTATCATGTTTGCAGATGCTTATAAATAGTTGTATCAAAACACATGCATGCTGTTTAGACATACAAGCAGATGTGAATCTGTCTTGTTAAGTGACAAGAGATTGCTAATACTGGAAGCCTACAATAAAATAGCTTTATGCTTGCTCAATAGGTGTGACATGAAAGTGGTCTTGGACTTTGTCTTAGGGTCTTTGTCTTTTACTTTGGGGTTTCTAGACATGCTTTGGTCTTGGTTTTTCCACTCAGTCTAAAGACTATTCACTGACTGACCCAGTAGTAGATGCATGACTTTTAATGAATCTTTGGAGGGGCTGAAGGGAGTGTTAAGTCTGTTCATTTTTTATGCTTCTTCCTACCAATTTTGCAATTACCAGAGTTCAGTGGGACACAAGAGCAACTAGAGTAGAAGCTTTGGGTACAGTTAGAGGTGTGGGAGATTCACTGGCACTTCCCCATCTCCGCAGGAAGAGAAACGTGCTGCTGTGGGGTCCCAGAACTCTGTTCTTGCTTTTTACCAGCCCCACAGTTTATCTTTTGATATTAAAGCCCCTGCATTGTAAAACTCCCTAATGAACTGATTGTAAAATCCCTATGAACAGTTCAGTTGCATACATTTAACACAAAAACCTCCCTTTTAACAAGCTGAAAAATCTCAGATGGAGGAAAGAGCCTCTGAACCGCAGAGCGATCTTTGCTAGCCATTGCCTGTCTATGAAACACAAATTGGTTCATTAGCTTGTTTTCCAGTGTGGGTAAGGATCCAAATGATGCTTCCTCTTCCTGATGTCATTGGGTTGACAACAAGCCGGGATGATAGCAAAAGCAAAACATCATTATAATTAGAATATATGACTATTTGGGAAGAGAAGCAAAGGGATTGGAAATAAGCCGCACTGATGTAAATAGTCAGTTTCTTGGAGTGCTACTCGGTAGTGTTAATGCTGCTATACCTGGGTTTCAGGTCAACAGTGCAAAACTACCTCTGTTACTTTAGTCTTCTGCAATACATAACAGCTGAAGTCTCTCCTCTTTCCAGCTCATATTTCTCACGTTAACAAACTCTAGCTCTCCTGAGTGTGTTATGGTTTCAGTACTACCATTTACCATAGTGGGCTTGTGCACTAGCTTGTTGACGCTTCATTTACTTGCAATATGATAAGTGGCATGATATTACAACAAGGGAGAGTCATGAAGAGCTATGTGAAACTGGGTTCCATTTCTGTTTTCCATTTTCAAGGCCAGCAGGGCCTATGAGGACTCCATAGCAGTATGTTAAACTTGTCATTAGGAGGGAGAAGAAATTTCATGTTGCACAACAAGCAGAATGGTGGTCACAGCTTCAAAGGGATTTTAGAGAAAATGGATGGAAGTTATCAAGTGCAGCAAAGAGATTGAGGCCTGGTCTGACTTAAGACACGTAGCTACTGCACTCAAGGGAGTGAAAAATCCACACTGCTAAGTGCCATAACTATGCTGATCTGACCCTCGCTGTAGGGTCCCTTCCCCTCCTCCCTACTTCACCCACACACATAGAGTTAGGTCTCTAGAAGAGTGTTTTTGGCAACCGAGGTACTGTTGCTCAGGAGTTGCAGTTGCTATAGTAATGAAGGAAACCCTTTCCATTGCAGAGTCTGAGATTGCAGCTGCATATCTACAGCACCACAGCTATGCTTCTGTAACACTCATAGAGTAGATCAGGTCAGAAAGGCTTTCCTTCTGATGAAGTAGAGGAATAGAAAATTAAATATGCCATGAGCTAAATAGCTATCTGGTCTTTCATTTCAAATTGCACTGAATTATGGTTGTGGTGAATAACGAGGAAAACCCCCTTGGGCCATTCAAATATGGTACATTTAGCATTTCTTCTAACTGGTAAATCTAGGCTTGTATATGGAGCATAAATTGAGAGCACTATTGCTACTACTGATAAGGAGTCATGCTTCATTACAATCAAATTTGTCTTAATTATCAGAATAGGTAAGATTTCAGGATGATCCAGTGCTTATGGGGCTTTCCTTTGAGACCTTAGAGATCCAGGTTCAGTTCCTTGCACAAATTTTGTGTGATCTGGGGCAAGTCAATTTAGTCTATCAATACAGGGGGATAACAGCATGCTTCTACCTCAGAGGCACTGTGAGGATGAATACTCTAATTGAAACAGTCAGGTACTAAATGACACAAACGTAGCTTGGATAAATACTAGTTAGACTTTAATTAAACTGTCTGTCAAATGGGATAGTGGTGACAAAGATGCCTTCAAGTGCTTGACCGGGGCTTGATTCCCACCTGATGCAGCACCAAATGTTGAAAATGAGGGTAATTAATCAGTGGGACAATTTACCAAGGGTTGTGGTGGATTCTCCATCAGTGGCAATTTTTAAATCAAGATTGGATGTTTTTCTAGAAGAGATGCTCTAGTTCAAAAGGAATGATTTCAGGGAAGTGCTATGGCCTGCGTAACGCAGGAGGTCAGACTAGATGACTGCAGTGGTCTCTCCTGGTCTTAAAATCTATGAATCTAAATGCCCTTCAACTTGAAGGCTCCCAAAGCATTTTTTCCAAACTACACAGTATTCCTGAAATGCAGCCATCCCTGGGATGGAAAGCAGCCATCATGCAGACTGCCACTGTATTTAGCACTGTCACAAGATTGATGAGAGGAATGGAATGTTTGGCAGAAGACATTTAGGGTAAATGCCTGTTGTTATCCAAAGCATCAGGAGATTTCTAAGCTTAACACAGAGCAGAAAGAATCCCTGTAAAGTTTGTCTGAAAGATCCTTCCCTAGAAACTGCATAGAACTTACATCAGTTTACATGGCCTGTTTGACTTCTATTTAGAACTTTCTTCTAATGGCCCAGGAAGTATGTTTTTGTTTCCACATTTAAGCAGATGACAACTTTTCCTCTGTTCTTATTTCACACACACTCTCATTTATTTTCTTAATTTTTGTACTACAGGGCAAGATATGGTTAATCGATTTTAACCCTTTTGGTGAAGCAACAGACTCACTGCTGTTTACGTGGGAAGAACTGACATCTGGGAAGAACTTGAAAGGTGACCATAGTGAAGGGGAGGCTATGGAACAGGTAAGGAAACATGTTAAAGAATAAGGTTGCAGGGTCAAAGAGATGGATTTAGATAATTCAACAGGTAGCCCAGCCTCTGGCTATTTTCTTTATTGTATTTAGGATGCAATTCAAAACCTGTTCAAGTCAGTGGGTGCATTTCCATTCACTTCGGTGGGCTTTATATCAGGCCCATACATGGTACGTTCCTCAAGAGCAGGATCTATGTCTCCCTTGGTGCAGTGTTCAAGCACAACAAATACTTTTTTTGTCTAGTTTTAAAGGCAAAAATAGGGCCTCTGTTCTGCAGCCTTGATCAGATTTATAAGAAATTATCCTAATATTTACCTTTGTTCCCTTTGTCCTATTAATCCTTGTTATTTGCATGTGTTGTAGGTTAAACAATTTCTTTTTACTCCTTGGTATTTACCCTTCAAATATTTGTACTTTTTCTTCATCGCTTAAGCAACCTCTGCTTCTTTCCTGGTGTTTTTTAATTTAATCACCCCAGCTTCATAATCATTTTTTTTCTAAGCTTCCCACTAACTTTTTGGTCTGCCCTGTATGGAGGAGCTGACATGTAATCCTAATTTTGCAAATGCAGTCTCTCTAGAACTGTACAGAGAGGCTCTCTGCTGCCCACTCCATGTTGCAAGTCCTCTGTAAAACCAAAATTCTACTAGTGGGAAGAAAACATTTCATTCTTTCATTGCACTTCATTCAGGTCCCTTGGCATTCTTCCGTGTGACTAAAACTTTAAGAGTCAGTTCCTTCAGCACCAGGGGATCTCTTGGAGGGAGCATTTCAAATGTTGATTCTCAAACCATAGATTCCTAGTGCTTTGTCAGGCACTTAGCTGGTGATCAGTGAAGAAATGGGTCATACCAAAGCTCTCACCTTTGGTCTTTTCTGTGCCGTGATCCTTACTGTATTCTGAAAGTTATGCGTGTGGGCCATGCATCCAGAATGTGAGATTTTGGAAGTGGAATCTCTTGTCCATCCATGCACTAGAGATGTAAGCAAATGTCAACTAACCGATAAGCCCAGGTTTATCCGTTAGTCAAGTTGACTATTTGCATTCCCTCCTCCCCGCTGCCGCTGTATCAAAGGCAAGTGGGGGAAGCAAGAGCCAGTGCTGGAGAGGGAGCTGGCTTAAAAGCCAGTTTCCCCAGCACCATCTCCGCAGTACTGCCAGCAGCTCCTGTCCTTGGGGGTCTGGGCTGGCCTACCTACCTGGCTAGAGCAGCCCCTGACTCAGTCCTAGCTCACGCCGGGTCTGGGGTACCTACCCACACTGTAGCTCTTCCCACCCATTTAAACTGCAGAGCTGCAGCGGGGGTAGCTCCCTGACCCAGCACGAGCCAGGACTGAGCTCTTCTTCCCTTATCGACTAATCGTGTAGATGGTAGAATGTTTATCAACTACATGCTTAGCAAATTACCCGCCTCTTAACATTCTTATTGTGCACCCAAGCTCCCCTTGTGCTTCTGTCTGAGGCAGTAAAGGGCAAGGCAGACGGACTGCGTCTCCAGTTCCTTCTCATCCCCACATGGTCTGGGTCAAACCTTTCAGTGTCCTCATCTGGTGGGTGTGTGTGTGTGTGTGTGTGTGTGTGTGTGGTTTGCCAAGTTTTTGACTAGTTTTATCAGTTTGTTGTAGTTTTATCATAATTTTAGTGTTTAGTTTAGATAAAGTGGAAGGGGCTTGCTTTCTTTGACAACACTCCTTTCCAAACCCACGTACCCACATGCCAGTACTGGACTTTGCCAAGGACTTTCAGCTTTAAACTGTGCACCTCTTCTCGGTCAGTGACTAACACCAACACTGCTAGCAAGAAGTAGCCATCATATCCAGGTACAGGTTTGCTTATTTTTCCCCAGGCACAGCTTAGAAGGCCAGGCTCTCTTCCTCCAGAAATAACACCATGGAGTAGGCCACAAAACCTCACTGAGACCCAGGCTGGGGAACCTTTGGCTGAAATCAGCTGGAATATATTGGCTGGAATCAGCAAGGAGTGTAGCTTCCACTATCACATCCAAATCCGGTGCTGATGGAACTAGCCCCATAGGTACCCATTGGGTCCTAGTCAGGAGGCATGGAAGCAAACCCATAAGCATGGGACTGTCTTCCTCAAAATCAAAGAAAGTGAATTCTCCTTCCATGAATTCGAGCCATGGTGTTGGAACATGCACCAAGTGCAAGACATAAGAAGTCCCACATCCAGTGGGATTTGGCAATTCCAAGCACCAAACCATCACCACAAGCATCCCACAAGACATGGGATCCCCCTGTTCTGGAAAAGTCCATTCTGCCAGCATAGAGATCCAGGAAGGAGAGTGTGCTTCTTGGAAGATCCGGAGCCATAGCTGTGCTCCGGGATGCATTTGCCTTGCCATACCTGAAGTCACCTTGTCCATCAGTCCCCTCCACCTCAGTCTAAAGAGATTGTTTTGCCACCACAGGATATACCACAGGTATTGGACCCCTCACAATCCACTCCAGTTCTCTCCCCCTCCCCCTACCCACCCGCATGATAACTATGTTCAAATGGGTGTTGGCTGTCATCCACCATGGCTATATAACCCAGTTTATCATGGTACCTCTTCCCACGCCACCCTTCTTGTCTCTCTTCAGGGACCACTCTCACTATAGCATTCTCACATGAGAGATTAATTCCTTGCTACAAGGGGAGCAATAGAACATGTTTCCCCAGAATGTTGAGGATTGGGGTTCTATTCAGTTTTCCTCTTGGGTATTGGGAAGTAAAGCAGATGAAGATTGATCTTTCGCATCTCAATCACTTTGCAAAAGTCAAGTTCTGTATGGTCACATTCGGTCACGTTGGCAATGATTATCCCATCCTTAGAGAAGGACATATAGATTACGGCTCTGAATATGAAGGATGCTTATTTACATATCAATGTCTATCCAGCCCACAAATGTTTTAGATTCACAGTGGGCACCCATCATTTCCAGTACAGGACACTTCTCTTGGGGATAACCACTGCTTCCAGGGTTTTCCATTGTAGCACAGTGTTCTTGTGTTTCCATGTCTTGACATGGCTTCTAGCCACACAGTCAAGGCAAAAGGTCCACATGTCACCCTTCATGTTACTCAGTTAGTGGCATGAAATCAATCCTAGACCCTAATTGGTTTTTGAACTTCATAGTGGCTACCATCAATTTGGTCATGGCATGAGCCTGTTTACTAGCAGACAGGCTCCATGTGTTAAGCAACATCATAGCTCACATTACAAGCTGCTCACATCACGAGCTACCCACATGTGCCAGCCAGGACTTGGCCATCCCTTCTCAGTTACATAGCTTCATGTATAAATGCAACTCTCCCCTTCTGCATGACTTCAATGCCTCTAGTTATGGTATCACTCCATGCTGACGGTCCACACCGTGGTACTGTCATCCCTTCAATGGTGGTTGGATATGTATTGCATGCATGGGAGTTCCCTTTCTTCCCTCTTGCCCAGACAAGATTATCATTGATGAATCCTTGGGGGGATTGAGGGAACTCCCAGAGAATCCAGAATGCATATAGATATGCAGGAGATCAGAACTGTCACCCTAGGAAGGCTTAAGCTTCGACCCTGCCTCTCTTCAGAATGTGCCACTCATTAACACCTGTAAAGTGGCCACATGGAATTCTATGCACAACTTTATTGCACACTGTGCAGGACATGGCAGCAGATGTTTCCTCTGCACAGCAGTCTTCTGCACTACTATTCCATCCTCATTCTCTCACCTTTCTACAAATTGGTATTGCTTGTTAATCACCCTCTGTGGAGTACAGTAGGGGCCATCATTCAAAGAAAAGGAGGTTGACTTACCTATACCTGGAGGCTTTTTGAGATACGTAGTCCCTATCTGTATGCCACTCTCTGCCCTCCTTCCCCTCTGGATCTGCCATATTTGCAGTGCAGAAGTAAATGGAGACACAGTTGATCCACTCCAACCTTTATTGCCTCGAATGGAAGCCCTAGGTGAGGCAGGGCACAAGAAACACTACTTACAAAATCTCCAATCCCAAAGCATGGTGTGGAATACAGATAGGGATCACACATCGTGAAAAACCTCCAATTACAGGTAAGTAACCCCCTTCTTTCTAGCTGATAAAGATTAGAAAATCTTAGAACACATTATGATTTCCTTAGTGTATTCTTATATGAAAGAAAATTGCTCTGTTTGCCCCCAAGATGTTATGAAACTGCAAATGAAGTGCAGATAGGTGGATTCTGTGTTGGTGAATGGGGTGGAAGGTGGCCCACGAGGTGTTAATGTGTCCTGCATGATACAAAAAAGGTTTGAGATCATCTGGGTTAAAGGATAGGACTTATTTAGATAAAAACCAAAAAACTCAGAGTTTATTTTGTCTAGCAAGATATGGTTTAGTTATTAGTCAGTTTTGAGGGTTTTCACCTGTCATGCATGGATGCACACCATATGTTTTGTGCCGTTTCCTAGTGTAAGCTGGAATGAGAAGTAGAATGTTTTGTCTTGTTCAGCTCCAGCTCAGCAATTAGGTCTACTGGTTTGGGGGTAAATGTCTGGTGCTCTCTCTGCCTACATGTGTAATATCAGGAAACTTTTTGCCTACTTCTTCAGATGACATCAGATTGCCATCATAGAGCACTTTGAAGATGTAACATGCTATATATTTACATATCACTGTTTGTTAAATTAAATGTAAGGTGGGGCTACACGTTTTATAGTTAGCAATGGAAGCTTAACAATAAGTTTGGTTTCAAGAAATACTTGCTGCATATGTCTTGACCTTAACTTTGGCAGGATTTTAGATGTAAATATGGATTTAAATCTGAAACCCTTAATAAAGGGGGATTTAAGGCTTTTGTTGCCAGAAATGATATACTTTATCCTTGTGTTCAGATAAAGCTCTCAGATAAAAAGCCTATCTAAAGTTCAACCTCTGCTGGGGATTCCAAGCATTATAGCACTTTACATTAAGTATAAGTAAATAAGTTGTATTAATACAGTGAATGTCCTCTTGGAGGCTTGGGGTATGGGAAGAAAGGCTTATATCTGAATATTAAAGGCATTTTAATTTCTGTCCATAAGTGGTCAGAGGGTTTTGATTTTTTCTTCTTTTTTAATATAGGAAACCCGTGATCACTCCTATCATGGGGGAGTCCCCACCTGGAATGCCCTCTTGTAGCAGGCCAGTGCACAGTAGTTGTACCTGCTTCCGTTTCCTTATCGGATTCCCCACTAGTTCCACTGTTAGCTGACTTGCCCCAGTTGTACCCCTCTGTGGGGCCTGTTTATCACCAAAACATAGTGCAAATAGTCCTTACCAAAAGTCCCTACACACAGTCCCTTTCTCCAGTATAGTCCGAACAGTACAGACACACCAAGTCTGGCCCCAGCGTCTGTCACTCCCTGCTTTTAGCCTTTTCCGGCCCTCTGGTTTCATCTCTCAGGCTCAGAGTCAGAAGGCATCTCCCTCTGCTCCTCTGTCTTCAGCCCTCTCCAGCCTTCTCTGGCTCAGAAATATCAGCAAGCTCGCCTTCCACTGGCTTCTGTGATAATTCTTCCTTCTTTTCTTGGAGGACCTGTAAAGAGCTTTCTGCTCTCTCTACTTTTCCCCAGAGACCTCTTCTGGTCACCAGCTTCCAGGCAGCTCTCAGCTTCCCTGTTCTCATTGGATCAGGCAACTCACGCTTGTCCATTTCATTGACTGATCCACTCTGTCAGGCTGTAGGGAAGCTCTGACTCACTAGGTCTTTCTCTTCTCTAGGATTCAGGTTCCCTCTTTTAAGCTGAATTAGGCAGCTTCATTTTAAAGGGCCAGTGTCACCCTTTTAGTATATTGGAAAAACTCCACTTTTAGTATATTGAAAAAACTCAATAGCAGCAATTGAAACAGTGTTACTGCTAGTTTAAAAAAATGGGTGTTTGTTGGCAGTTAGATTAAGGTTTTTTTTTAACCTGTCTTTCTCTAAGGACTATCCAGCGTTCCGCTGTACAAACAGCAAAGTTACCGTCCAGCCTAGCCCTTACCTGAGCTACCGACTGCCCAAGGATTTTGTAGATCTTTCTACTGGAGAAGATGTTCACAAGCTAATTGATTTTCTCAAGCTGGTAAGCAAACTGCAGTGAAAGAATTTCTGACCATGGGGGTTACCAAAGAGGAGCACTAAAGCATGTGGAATTATGACATTCTGATTTGGAAGAATTACAGTATTCGGCTTGTAAAATAAATTTGTATATAGAGAGGAAAGGAGAGAGAGTGTATGTATTGTTGGACTGATTTATTGTTTTACTTGTAATAACCAAGAACAAATTGTCACTTTATTATTGTTACCTTAGGGGAAGCTAATACATGATAGAGAATACGGAAATGTTACTGGAACACACATGCCCTTTTTTGTTTAAAGAGAACTATAGGCTAAGTGGAAATATGTAGTCTGAGTGGCTGAATGTTAGAAATGTTAAGTGTAATATTAACCTAATTTTGTAATGTTTTAGGGAGCCTTACACACTTTATGCAGTTCTTACTTCAGACAAACTTAGTTTCTCAGGTCTTTTTTTCCAATAAATATACATGACTTGTTCATAGGCTGAAATGATCTTTTTGCCGCCTTTCAACCACTGTAAGCAGTGTGAAAGATTTAATCAACAGCAGGGTTCAATACAACAGCAGTCTTTCAGCTGGTCAAGCCCCAAACCACTCACAGCTTTAAAAGTTAACTCAAACAATCCAAGTTCTGCTCTAAAGCTGCAGGCTACAGTACAATGTAATGTGCAGTGAGTGATGCACTTTGTATAGGTTACTTATCTTAGACTCGGGGATAGCTGTGTTAGTCTCTATCTCAAAAAGGAGGAGTCCCGTGGCACCTTAAAGACTAACAGATTTATTTGGGCATAAGTTTTCGTGGGTAAAATCCACTTCATCATATGAATTGACTCCGGTTCATGTGATGAAATGGGTTTTACCCATGAAGCTTATGCCCAAATAAATCTGTTAGTCTTTAAGGTGCCACAGGACTCTGTAAGATCATCTTCAGGGGAAAAAATTGTCTCTATTCTCTGGATGGTGCATAATTAAAAATGGTGCTTTTTCCAGTCTCGTTCGCAATGTTCCCCAATTCCACTGGAAGACTACTCTATAGTCTAATACAGAAGAGGACAAACTCAAGCCCGAGGGCCGGATCTAGCCCACCAAGTATTTCTTTCCAGCCTGCCCAGTGGATTAGCAGAGTATGAATACTTACAGCAGGCAGCATGTGTTCAGCTGCTTCTCCCCTCCCCCCCCGCCACCTTGCTCCGTCCTGTAGCCCATCTGCTCCCAGGATTATCCTGTTAGCTGTGCAGAGCTGGGGGAGAGGGGAGCTCTGAAATCAGGGTGTCCCCCTGTCCCTGTGCCCCATCTCTGCAGAGCACGTGTCAAGGAGAGGGGGAGGTACAGCAAAGCTGTTCCAATCTGACGTATGGATGGTGAGTGACTCAGAGGAGTGCCTGTCTTAAGAGACAGTGCCCTGTTTCTAAGATTTCAGTGCACCTGTGCGTGCGTGCGTGCTTTTTCTCCTCCCCTTTCCTCTCTCCCCACAACACTTCTCTCTCTTACCCCATCTCTGCAGAGCGGGAGAGAGGGAAGACTTAAAGAGACAGTATATGGCTTCTCTCAGAAATTTACCCGGCGGCAGCAGCCAGCACACACACACACTACCTGTTATATATATACTCTCTCTCTCTGTCTGTGCCACATGCACTCAATCTGTGTCAGAGTCCGTCTCTCGCACACACCGTGTCTCTCTCTTTCACACTCACACGCTTTGTTGTTTTCTGTAGCCTCAGTCCCACCCCTTCTGTATGAGGCCCTACCCATTCCAGGTCCTACCCATTCTACAGCCAGCCTATGACCGTGTACATAAAGTGGCCCCCCTGCAAAAATTATTGCCCACCTGATCTAATAGTACTTGCTATCATAAATCTTTTACATCCGTTGTAACGTTCCCCTTCTGTTTCTCCCCATTGCTTCTAATTACACTCCTTTTTGTACCAACACAAATCTCCTCCTTTCTTCCTTACCAATAGCAAAGAATCTACCTTTCTGTCTTCAACATTTTGAGGGGAGGCAAAGCCCAAGGATTTGTTTGGCATCAGACAGCTGATTTGTAAGACTTCAAATATCCTTGATATTAACCATCAACATTTATCCTATTTTTTTCATTAAAATTCATTTTTGATGAAAAAATCCTGACTAGCTCTGCTCAGTGGTCAAAGTGTGCTCTCGTCCTCAGGTAGGCAGCCCAAAACATCCCTGAAAAAAGAATAAATCTCTGGTCTGACCTTCTAATAATTACTCACTGGCCCTTGGGTACAGTGATAAGGCTAACTAGGCCCTCAGTATGGTGTAGACTGAAGTCTCATTAACAGAAATGTAGCTAAAAAATTAGCTGTTTTGGTGAATCCTCTCAATAGAGGAATATACTTGAGATGCTGTGCATTGAATGACACTTCATAGTTTGGTTCTGAATAGCACAGTCTTATGCTCAAGCCCAAAACTAATTAGCACTTGAAGATTCATCTCCAACTATGCGTCTTTGCAGGTCCTGATTGTACAAGAGTGTAAATGGAATAACTTCAATTCAGTTCACAAAAAAATTCACAGGCCAGGAGAGTGGCAGTGTTAGGTGATGTGGTAGTGACCTAACATGGACTCTCCTCCCTTTAAGTCTGCTAGCATTATGTATTGTGAAGTCTAGCTATGATCTAGAAGGATGAGATACTCACACTTAGACTCCATAATATTGAGGCTTATCTGAAGCTTGCTGCACTAGACTATGATTACAGACATTTTGAGCTGTTAGCCAAGAAGCTTGATGAAGGGACTACAGAATCCACTGCCATGCCATCCTTAGGTGCCATCAAAAGAGTTAAGAGGAAAGAATAGATTGTGTTATACCAGGGCCAGAAGAAAACCCTTTAATATATGTGTGGCTGAGTGAGGGGGGATTGCATTATGAAAAGTTTGCAAGTGTAGTCTGCCCCAAAGCCTAAGCAAGAAGCCAGCATCATTAATCTGATTAATGTACCATTTTTAGCAAGCTCACATTCAGTATGTCTTGTTCAGGCAGTGGCTGATGGGAACCCTGTCTAATCTTTATTGGTTTTTATGGTGCACCTATTGCTGAGGTCTGGTGTGAACATCCACATAGGGAAGATTTACACTGAGGTACCTCCATACCATGAGTGGGGAGCCTTTTGGAAACCTACACTCTTAGTGTTAGATCATCAGCTTTGCAATGAGATACTACCACCTGCAGCTTGTCAAACCTAGAGATATTCAAGTTTCAGTGTACAATTCAAGATGCACCTCCATGGTCGGATTTTTCTTTGAGTATTCCTCATCATTGTCTTTCCTGGCTATAGTTCTCAGCTGTTCAGAGTTCTTGTTTAGGGGGAGCATTTTTATTGGTTCACATTGTGATATGACAGATTTTACTCCCCATTTTAAATAAAATCCTGTAGTGGCTTCCAGTAGGGAATAGACTCTCCTGCATCCCAGTGTCAATACATGGAAAATATTTGCAATGTTAGATTAGATTGGTGCTTTATTTAATATGAGTGTATTTAACATGATATTAATTTTCCTGTTTCCTTGACAGGAAAGAAATCAGCAAGATGATGACTGAGGAACCATGAAGTAGAAGATGAAATTGAAAACAATAAAGTTGGCTAATTAAAACCACATAATAGTGTAGCTGTTCACCAGCCATCAATTTAAAGATTTACCTGCTTTTTATATTCATTTAAAACAACTAAAGAGCTGTGTGTATTGGTATAATAAATGTACATTTTAGGAAACCATTTTGGTATGGTGAAATAGTACACTGGCCTGTGTTGTATGATACATCATCTTTAAATTCAAGCTAGATGCTTGTACACGTACCCAGCTGTAGGCAATTCAGCGTCTGTGTACATCTAAGTAATTGAATCCTCAGTCTTGAAGATTGTATGCACCCAAGTCATTGAGGTTTGCTGAAATTAGCAGACTTTTGCTCATATATGCAATGCATCCTTCACATTTAACGCTTGTGCAGTCAAAATGTCAACTGCCCCTCCTGCCTTAAGCACAGGCTACAGTAATTCCTCATTTAACACTATAGATGTGTTTCTGAAAATGTTTGTGCTAAGCGAAAACATGCTATGTGGGGTCAATTTTCCCATTTAAAAATAATGGAAAATGTGAGGGTTGAGTTTCAGGTGGTGGTAGCGGCGGCAAAGTCAAGTTTTTGTTGGTGCTTGGTCATCAATGTCAACATTAGATATCTAGCAACACAAGTCACTGCAGTTTGTTAAAATACAAAAATAAACCCGTGAGTGAGCAGAGGAGCACTGTGACCACATGTATTCATCCGCTCATGCGTATTACCACTGTTTTCACCAACTTATACTGCCGCATGAAGTAGTCCGCCACTTGATTATTTTCGTGTTCTTTCTGGGACAGTCGTGTTATTCAAAAAAGTTCCCTAAAAATAAATCGTGCTATTGTGAAAACGTGTTAAGCGGGCCCATGTTAAATGAGTAATTACTGTATTTTAAAGCACAGACTAGTTGTAAGGAAACAAACAAAAAATTTCCATGTAATTTTTTTTAAATTGTCAATTTCATATATGTTTTGAGGGCACTTTTTATTTAAAAAAAGAAATTAATTTTTTCAACTTTCTCAGTAAAACTCACGAATTTAAAGAAAAAATAATTTAACCCATTAATGGTCCTGAAACAATTTACCAACAAATGTCGGTGTCATTTGTACTTTTCTAAACCCTGCAAGCACTGTGAAATACAGTAATGTTTTTTCTGAATGCAAATATAGTGAGGAAATTTGCAGAAATGGGGCCTTTCAGAACCCAATTTAATGAAATATCAGAACTGAGTTTTATTCCTGTCATATAAATCTCAAGCAATCACTTGTGGCTTCATACAAAGATGTACAACCTGTGATTTTTTTTTTTAAGTGTGAATTCAGTTTTGCTCCTATTTCATCCAAAATTTCTGACTTTGGAGAAGGGATTGGCCCTATAATTTATGATGGAATTTGTATTTATTTGGTGCTTCAGCTCCCTCTAGTGATAGGAGACAGCTTGAAGCAATGGCTGTAGAGTGCAAAAACCTGGTTTCCCTTCTAGATTTATTACCAACTTGCCAAAATGTCAGATAATTTGGGAAACTCCATTGTTGGGTATCCAGCTTGATAGGAGGGGCTGTATGATCAGAGGTGCACAGCATATTCATCTCCAGTTGAGGTGCACAAGAGCTGCAGTCGTTCTGAAAAGCAGATCCTAATTTGTCTCAAAGTAGCCATCCAAAAATCAACAGTTATTTTAAAGTTAGTCCTATGCCTTCCTGTCCTTTTTTTTGTAAAATGGGGTATAGTGCTTAGAAAATGCATCACTCATCCCTCTGTGGTTTTAGTCTTGAATGAACTCTACTTGTGACATAGGACACAGATTATACCTCCTATTCTACCGTATATGCTTATCAAACATAACATCTTGAAGCTTGCTGTCTTTGACAGAGAGGAAGTAGCAGACAATGGCTCTGCAGTTTTAAGGTTACAAAATGTTTCTTTCTGAAGCTTCATGTGCATATTAAAGAGTTGCCATTTTAGGCTGAGGTATCAAATGTTGCTAAATCAAGAAGAATCACTGGGGAAAAAAACTTGAAGGAAATATTCAGAAAACTCATACTTTAAGATCAGAAGGGACTATTATGATCATCCAGGCAGGCCCCCTGAATAACCCCAAAACAGAATTTCACCTAAAATTCCTGCATTAGGTCCATAATTTTGGTTGTGTTTTAGCATGCATATAAGAAAGACACCCAACCTTGATTTAAAGATGTCAAATAATAGAGAATCCACTCCAACTCTGTAAATGTCCATGATTAATCACCCAGTTTCTATTTAGCTTCCACTAATTGAATCTTAAGTTTTTTCTGCTGATTTGAAGAGCTCTATTGTCAGAAGACTTTTCATAGTATTTGGAGTAAGGAAGGGTCATAACATTCTTCTGGAGGTACTTGTAGACCATGAGAAAAATTAATAATCATTCTTTTTTTTTTTTTTTTAATAAGACAAAGGTAGGCAAGGTTTCAATAACATTGTATAAAGCTGTCCTAGTAAAATGTTATCCTTTTCAGTCCTTTATTTTAATATTTGCTGTTTACTTCACATGTAGCAATTCCATTAGTCCTGCGTTAGGTTGCAATGAGATTTATTTCGAGACATAATCACAATTACTAAATACAAAAATCCAGTTCATCAAGCCCAGTTCATGAGTGAATAATCCTATTGACTACTCATGTGAATGAGGGTTATAGGATCAGAGCCTCACAATTGAAAACTTAAGCAAACATTGTTAAGCTTGAAGTATATAGTAAATATAGGGAAAGTATTAGAGAATGGAGGTAGGTTCATGCAGGGTAGTTGTACTGTGAAAAAGATACTTTGCCAACTAATAACATCTATAAGACATTAGGGCTGTGTCTAGACTGGCCAGTTTTTCCGGAAAATCAGCCGCTTTTCCGGAAAAACTTGCCAGCTGCCTACACTGGCCGCTTGAATTTCCGCAAAAGCACTGACTTCCTACTGTAAGAAATCAGTGCTTTTTGTGGAAATACTATGCTGCTCCCGTTTGGGCAAAAGTCCTTTTGCGCAAAAGGGCCAGTGTTGACAACCCAGATTTGTTTTCCGCAAAAAAGCCCCGATCACGAAAATGGCAGTTGGGGCTTTTTTGTGGAAAAGAGCGTCTAGATTGGCACGGGCGCTTTTCCACAAAAGCACTTCTTGCGGAAAAGCGTCCGTGCCAATCTAGACACGCTTTTCCGAAAATGCTTTTAACGGAAAACTTTTCTGTTAAAAGCATTTCCGGAAAATCATGCAAGTCTAGACGTAGCCCAGGACTTGCTCAGTGTCTGAGCTATGCATCATCTCAGTGGGACAGTTGTGTTCGTGGATTGGAGTTCTTCCCAGAGTGCTAAAGAAAATTTTCCCTATTATGCTTCTGTCAGTAGTAGCTGTTTAATTTCTCAGCTGGAGAGCAGTCTTGACCCTATTCCACTGAACTCCTTTAAAAATATTACCTCTCTATGAAAATTACCAGCATAAAATCTCTTTAAAACTTATCATCTGTAAGGTGTACCTGTTTAATGCAGAGGAGATTCTGGTGAATGCAACCTTACTCCTTCCTGGTGCCCTCTCTTGTAGTTCCCTTGCCTTATTTGCCTTCCTAATATCCCCCTCATCTTTCCTAATATCCCCCTAATGCCACCAATAAATGATCTGATTAATCAGTATCCAAAGAAACGGCACATCTACTATTGAGCTGAACCAAAAAAAAATTCAGCTTGATCTGCATAATATTTTACATTCTGATTTGTGGACTTCATTTGAGTGTATTGCTCTGCAAAGCCATATGAATGTAGGAAGTATTCTTCGAATTGTACCATCTCCTTTGGCAGAATGAATACCACCTGTTGGATTCTAGACACCTTATATGGCCATAAAATTATCCTCCTGAACATATCTAACATTCTCTGTCGGGCACTGTGTGTAAATCTTTCATACATCCTTCTGTGCCCATGTATGGCTGACACTCAGGACTCCATAGTAAGCATAGTTGGAACCCAATGAGACAGTCAAGTGAGAATATAGACATCAAGAATGGTTAAAAGTCATAACACAGCCTTGATTGGCATGTTGCCATGACATCCTCAAGAATGTGGTGTCTCCTAATTTGTGTCAAACTCTGTAAATGCTCTTTTGTTAGGTAAACAAGAGACTAGCAGAGCTTTTGTATGTAGTGAGATATTGGGTATCATTTTTACTATTCAGTTCTTACTAAGGGGCTGCACCCTTTGCTCACTACGCTCACCTACCCCCCTCTCTCTGGCTGCTTTTGCTTTGCTGAGAGAGCCTGTTGACACTGATGACATCATTCTGTTGCCTGGCAGGAATATTCTGTCATCCATCAGGAAAAAAAAATTTATAGAGCGATATTACAGTAGCATCCAGAGGATCAATGCTATATTATGTGTGATAATCAAAACAAAGAGTACCTGTGTCGCTTGTAATTTTACAAAGAATGGGGGAGAGGAGGACAAATATATCTTGCCTGTGCATACATACTCACTCTGTTTTGTGTTTTGTAAATATCAACTTTTCCAACGACCTATCGCCATTCTTGGGGATTTCTTGTAGATATCAGAGAGACAAGGACAAGCCATTAAGGCTTGCATGGCTGGTGGAATAGAGAAATGGTCAAGCATAAATAAAAATAGAATTGTTTCCTTAGCAGACATTTCAACGAGTTCCCTTTAATGCGCTGAAACAACTCTAGATGTCTTTTTTTTCTAGCTGGAGGGGAATGACATCTGGCTGAGTGACATCTGCTTGTGTGGCAGCCAAAATGTAAATAAGCAAATCAGCCTGGCAAACTTGCAATATTCTTCATTCTGAAGGGGCAGGGTCCTACAGACCTGGCTGTGTTTGGATAGTATTTCTCCTCAAGCCTATTGTTTTAGGAAATAATCATGGGAGAGAATACATCTCTTTGGGTCTCTGAGATGGTGCTTAAAAGAATAATTAAGGGGTCACACAGCTTTTGACACACGAACCCTTGATAAATCCTGACGTTACAGGCTTGGTATTGATGTTTTAAATGAATTTAGGTCATTTTTACACTACATACACTTTAGGCTTAAAGTGTAGCTATTCAACAGTATCATGAAACTCCTTTCTAACTCATTTAGGAGGGGTTTCTTTGGGATTTTTTGTTTTGTTGTTGATTTATTTTAAATAAAGA